AGTGTCATTACAAATCACACCTTAGATTTGAAGAAGCTAAAGTACAAGTTTTAGTGTCATTACAAATCACACCTTAGATTTGAAGAAGCTAAAGTACAAGTTTTAGTGTCATTACAAATCACACCTTAGATTTGAAGGAGCTATAGTACAAGTTTTAGTATCATTACAAGTCACATCTTAATAGTGGAACAGAAGCAAAAGCACAAAATTTAAATTCTCACCTACAATTGCCCTCTTGTTAAGTTAAATCATTAGGACTTCATAAGTTACCTTAGCACTGAAATAGAAGCAAAGGTACAAAATATGATTTTTCTCCAACATTAACATCCTGTTTATAAAATGTCACTGTCTATGCCAGATTTTCAGAAATGAGGTATTTTCATAATTTAATGTTTATTTCAAATTGGAAATATAATTTTCCTGTAATTATGACCTAATATAGTGTATATTTGAAAACTTGAAGGCTTATTCTCATAGCATTCAACTTGTATTTTTACATTATTTTTGCACATGTATTCTATAAATAAATATGCCTTCTCGGATATATATGTCATGTTTTAGTTCTGATTTGCAAGTAAAAAGAGTACAGTGAGAACAGCCTACTGTCCCATTCTATAGCAATAGTTAATAGCCAGTCTCATTTGCAATTTTAGTATTTATAAGACCAGCATGTCTCAAGAATAATTTTATTTAATGGATGATGAATAAAAACTATTTTATTAGCATTAATATGAAAATAAATTGAATACAATTATTAACATTAAAATTGCTAGTTGTAATAGTTAACTTATTTCAGGACTTCCATTACTTTGTACCTGAAAAAAACACTAACAGGTTAACATTAATTAAATTTATTTACAAAATACTACAAATTTAATATTAATCATCAATGAAACAATAAATTTTTTATGTTATCCAGAATTGTATCACGGATAACTAAAGAGCATTTCATGACAAAAATATACTTATTGAATATTTAGTATTAATCATCAATTCCAAAAGTCAATTTTTTTCTGTTAGCCAAAGTATGTTATGTAGCAGTAAGTAAGTTTATGAGAGATTAGTTTATTCATAAAAAGTCCTAGTATTGTTTTTTTAAATAAGACTTATAAAATATGCATGGTTTTAGCTTCTTGACCATCCCTATCTTAGTGCTGACCCCAAATTTTTTTTTTTCCTGTTAAAGAACTAAAAATTATGTTCACTTTATTCTGGAAACATCTGGCTTAAAGAACAAAGAAAGATCCCTACCTACTTATTCTATCTTTTTTTGTTAGGAAACTGGAACCATACATATTTTAGGCTTTGTATAATTTGTTTTAAATCTGAAATGCAATCTGAAACATTTCAAGGAACAATGTAGTTCTAATTTTATAAAACAGTCATGAGTAATAGTTTGTTCTATAATTTGTGTAATAAGATAAACAAAATATACTACTATTTATATTAAGTCTAATTTATCCAACATCAGGTTTCCTAAACAATATATAAACAAAAAATTGCTAAATGCTCAGCTTCAAGAGAAAAGCAGTTATATAACTATACACTCCTTTGTACTGTCATATATTCACCCTACACTGAATTATCTACTTATTAATTTGTCTTTTTTTTATTACTTTAGAATTTCAAAAACATTTCATCACAGAAGATATGTGAAATTTAAGTCCTTGTTTTTCAAAATAGTTTGTGTCTCTTCCCTGTACCAGTTCTTTCTTCATGGTATAAAAATGGTAAAACATCTTACAAGCACATAAAATACTGCTCAACACAATGAAGAAACCC